GTGGTGTACCTAATAAAGTGGCCGGTGAGTGTGTATATATATATATATATAGACAGAGATAGGGCGCTGTACAGAAGAAATGGTAAAAAACCTTTCGGGTTGATTTGCAAACTGAATCTGAATTTCCTGGAAACATTTATTTGCAACGACTGATACATGAGATTTTCACTCTAGATACTTCTCTCCTCACAGATAAGTATTTAGTATTGAGCAGAATGATGAAGGGACTAGATGTAAGAATTTTGTCTTATTTTGAGGTTACTCTTTTATTTGCAGGTGTGATCGATATTTCCGGTTGGCTTTACGCAAATAAAACAAAGACAGCATTCGAAAGAACGCTTAAAAAGTTTCAAATATAATTAGTAGTAAACATTTCTCTTTATTTAGTTCATGTTTAGACCACTTCTGTGTTTTCAGAATCTATTTGTAGACGTACACACAGTTCCATATTTAACTGAAACCATATGCAGTGTGTGTGTGTGGGGGGGGGGTGTTAAACAAAATAACTGGTCTTACTGTTTCTTCTTGCACTCAGTGGCAACGTCTATCACGAAGCTGGTGAGGTCAATGTAGCCCTCAGCCTTCTCTGCCTGCAACACACACATCGGACAAGTGAGCACCGACAACCAGTAACGATTTCAAACCACTTCCTGACGACTCGTGACTCTGGGTGGTAACAAGCAGAGGCGACACACTGTGAGGCTGGACTGAAATCATGGTGCCAGTAAATAAGTCAGTCTGTCTGTGTGTGAAAGGACCTGTTAGAGACACAGACACAAACAGGAAACACAGCAACACGACTGAACAGTTCCTGTAGAAGCAGACGGGCGACAGAGTCAGAAGAAACTAGAATGACTCATCTTCAGTCCGTGCTGCGCTCTAAGTGTGTGTGTGTGTGTGTGTGTGTGTGTGTGTGTGTGTGTGTTGAGGGGGTTCAAACGTGTGATGTGTTCAAGAGGTTAAAGCTTTAATCAGATTTTCTCTGGTGAAACTTGCACTGCATGAACAAAAGGATATGTAAATAAAATTCAGAGAGGAAAAAATGTGATTTGGTTTTCAATTAGAAAAGCACAGGTTTTCTTTTAAAAATTCAAGAAGAAACAGGAAAAAAAAAACTTTGAAGATATCCTATTTCTTTACATAACAACAAACTCGCGTAGGATCTGAAACAACAGTTAAGATTTAGATCAAACGAAACGGTTTAAAAAAATCCCAAAGTAATCTTGATGGAAACATCCAAATTTAAATTTTACTGCTATATTTTGTGTTCAAAATGTAACAATTCAGCTACAAATGAATAAATAAACAAAGAACCACTCAGCCACTCTCTTGGCCACATTTAGGTCATTATCATTACATGAGGTAATTGTCATCTTTTGACCTTTTTGATGGTTTCAGGGTAATAATAAGAGAAGTTAAGTGAGMTCCAATGAGGCTGACAGTCAAACTGGAGGAGTGGTTCATCTCCTTTGCTGTTCTAATGTAAACACAAACTAGCTGAAAAAGGATCTCCTGAAAATAAAGCCCTAGTTTGTCTTGAGAAACAACAGAATTTTAGATGTTTCAGTCAAACCACAAAAAAAAAAAAAAACCTTTGAGCAACCTTATGCAAAATTGCAAGACTCAGACAATCTGTGTGAACGACTCTCAGCTACTACACCAACATATTTTAGCTTCATGTCTGTAAAATGAAACGTTAAAAGCGCTGTGGCAGCCATCTTGAATGGTAATGTCTCCAAAGGTTCATAAGATTTACATCCAATGATTAACTTCTGAAAGCTTCAATAAAATGTGTCCTGTAGTTTGTTGCTGGTTAAAATTTAGACAACCACCGATTCCCACAGAGACAGAAGCAGAAAATACTCAAAACAGGTCAACAAAACTATCAGTTTAGATTAACAGTTTGCACCGTGGAGAAGCTCAGATCAATTTTTGTCTAGATATTTGCACCTGGAGTTTGTTTACATCTTAAATCGATGAAGTGATAAAGCAGCCTTTTGCTCACCAGTTGATTGGTGTACCAGTACAGAGCTGTTTTCTTCAGAACAAACCAGTACTTCTTCCATTTGATCCCCAGGAAGCCTTTTCCCTCCTTCTTTCTGTACAGCCAGCCCTGGTGGTCCGGGTGACCAAGATCTTTGACCGACACGCGCCTCCTGCTCATTATACCATCGCCTGTGAAAAACAACAACAACAACAACAAAAGAATAAATAACTGCACAGAGAACTTGTCCGCCCTGTTTGCAGTTCTAGGCGAACGTCTGAAGCAACACACTGCAGTCGATTTTGACAACACCCCCGAAAAACCTAAACACTTCTGTTTTAGCCGCTGTAGGTCACAGAGCTCGATGGATAATCAAATCACTTCTAAAAATACGATTGAAACAACCCAGAGTTCAGAAACTGTCTGCTCTAAAAGGTCTCAGCTCCATTAACCCTACCTGATGTGGTTAAAAAACAGGTGCCATGAAAACCAAAGCTGGCCTCACGGAACAAGACGAGATGTGCAGCAGAGAGGCAGAACAGAACAGAAGTGAAGTGAAAGTAACCGTGGGTTGTCTAAAACCCCTCTGTACACACTAATTGCCCTGCCACTTCACGCACGCCCACTGGTGGGCCAAAGTACGGCTGCTGGTACGCACGGAGCAATAAGTGCTTGCTTACCTCCTCTGCTCTTCTTCTTTGGTTTGTGTCGCAGGGAGACCTTCAGGAGAGGAGGACAACGGGAGAAAACTGTCAAACTCTACGGCTGAGAACAAAAGCTCGCCTTGAACATCCTGTTTCTCTCTCTCACACACACAAACACACACATACACACGCACGACCTGTCTTTACTTTGAGCCTTTCATTTTAGTCTCAGAAATAAATTCTTCTTAACTTTGGCTGCCTGAAATATAAATCTTCAATAAACAAGATTAAAAAAAAGAGAGAACAGCCTGCCGTTAAACCCTGTGATGGAGTCTGATAAAACATGTCAAACTTGGTCAGCATAAAATAGGAGAAGCAGAAGTATCGCCTTTGTAATTGTAAATGTCACAAAAAAAAGGTAGACTTACAGGGTTGTAGTCATCAGCAGCCATTGAAGGTGTGACGGATATGGGGAAAACAGCCTGTAGAATGAAACCAGATGAGAAAAAAAATTTACATTTCTAGACTGACAATATTTCTGCAGATAACTCGAAAAAAAAAAAAACATAAAAAAACTTTTAATTTCTTTCTGTAAGAGGATGTGGCATCACGGGCAGAAGCAAGAGAAATGATTTTTCTGTTTTAAATCAGCTTGTTCTGGTAGAAAGACAAATTCATGTTGAATTTCAACATCTGCAGAAGAGGAAGTTGAGTCAGGAAAAAAAAAAAACATCGACTTAAACTTTAGCTTTAAAGTTCTGCTAACAAACGGCACTGAATCACAGCTTGGGTGTCAAACTTTACTGTCATTGATATATAAATAGCAATAAACACACAGAATTTATCTCAAAAATCTTTTTTTTTTTAGCTTTTTCACACTAAATAGTTGCCTTGTTACATCCTCAAAGTGGACAGAGACGTTGAGAAATCCACTGCCTTTATTGACTAACTTCCTCTGCATAAATGAGTTCCGTATTCGTAAAGTTTTAAAAGCAGCCAGTGGTGGAAACAAAAAAAAAAAAAACAAGCTGATGTCTCAGCCCATTTGTCATTTCATAGAAGTGACAACACTCAACCACCTGTTAGATTTCTCATAAAATCTTTGCAACTGTGAAAAAACGAGTCTGCTGCAGCTCTTCTTTTGCAAACACTTAAAATGTCCCAAAGTGAAGAAAGACTCATCCCTGCTTGCTTTTATTTAAAACTACCCTTTAACAACCTATCAGAGTGAAAGCACTGCACAGGCTCTCATCTGAAACTTCTCTTTCACAACACAAATGCATCAGTTATTTCTCGGGGGGTTTGAGGACTCGATGACTATCACCACATTAACCATAGGACAGGCTCGAGTTTCTACATGTGTTTGGTAACTAACTTCCTGACTTATTTCTTTCAAGGTACTGAAATTTCAGTGCAATTCAACACTAACCTCCTAGCAAACTCATTTAGATTAAAACAGTAGCTATCTAGTATTATCCACACTGCAAAAAATGTCCATCTTACCAAGTTTTTAAATCTTATATCAGCCAAAAAGTCTTTTTGATCTTGTTTTGAGACTGATTTACTAAACAAGAACTGATTGCGTAAGAATAATAATCTTGTTTTCAGAATGTGTAAGATTATTTGTCTTGTTAGCCTGAAAATTTGACTCAAATTAAGTCAAAACTTTCTGCCAATGGAGTAAGAAAAATTTACTTGGTAAGATTCTTAAAATACTTGATTTGACTCAATTTTTTCTTATTTCAAGAATCTTACCAAGTAAAATTTTCTTACTCCATTGGCAGAAAGTTTTGACTTAATTTGAGTCAAATTTTCAGGCTAACAAGACAAATAATCTTACACATTCTGAAAACAAGATTATTATTCTTACACAATCAGTTCTTGTTTAGTAAATCAGTCTCAAAACAAGATCAAAAAGACTTTTTGGCTGATATAAGATTTTAAAACTTGATAAGATTGACAGTTTTTGCAGTGCAGACCTAAACGTTAATCTCAGCCTTTAATTTATTTGTTTTTCTCTCTCTAGTGTTTATATTTATTGGCTTTTGGGGGCGGGGCTTATTACTTTGCACCAGCAGCACCACATAAACTAAGCTGAGCGGATTTTGTGTAGCACTGTGTGAAAGTATGTCAAGCAAAAACACAATTGTGTCCAAAAAACGGTGACAACCAAATCTCWAAATTAAAACACGTTTACCTACATGTTAAATTTACAAACAGAACATGTCTGTGCTGCTGCAAAGCTAGCTTCATGATGTTAGCTACAAAAAAATGTTGTTAGCTACTAGCCTAAAAAAAGGGTAGCATACACTAATTTGGATAATTTGATTATTTTAACACATTTTTCAGTAACACTCCAACTATACCTGCCACCACAGTCKCAGTGAACGTAGTTTGCCCCGGACTCTTTGCTCAAAGTTTACCCAGACCTCAGCGAACATTGTGGACGACAAGAAGAAAAAACGAAGGAAGCTGGACAGGTGAGGTCTTCAGGTGAATTCAAAGCCTCTCTGGGTGTTCCCTTTTAAAATTCAAAGAGGGTACCACGGCTTTCTACTGTCTTATTTTTAATTAATACAGTTAAAACACAAGAAGCAATTCTATTTGTATTTTTTAAAAATATTTTTGTTCCTGTTCCGACAAAGTATATGTTTTTACCCCAGATTGAAATCGCAGTTACAGCTTGTTACCGCCAGGTGTCGCCAAATCACCACAATGTGGATTCTTTCAGATGGAAAAGAGATCCTAGAACTAAATCACCTTTTCACACTTTTAAATAATGCTAATATAATATCAATAAGATTTAGTAAAACMTACACTAAAATACAGTCATTTACTGGATGAAAATGTATTTTGCTTCTTCAGTATAGTTTATTGGTTTGAAATTAACACCAATGGATAAAAATAGATGGAGTATCATCCTTTTGGGGGGAAATAAAAATGAAAACTACATTTAAATTACTTTCACGAATATATATAGCTTTTAAATAAAAGTTTGTTCTGAATTTAAAATGAGCAAAACTAATTTAACATGCTATGTTCAATAGCACACAAGAACTGTTATTTTTAGGGCAAAATGAGCACTGCTTTGTATTTTTCAAGATGAGTTTCTAATATAAATAAGAATTAAAAGCAACTAAAATAAAAAAACAATCATTATGAGAAATAAACAGATAAACTAGCTAAGTCTGTACACTATAGATTTAAAATTATATTCACTCAAACTCACAGTAGCTGTCCATATTTGACATGTTTTTATATAGGAACATAATTTAGCCAGATGAGTGTTTTTTAAGTTTTGAAACAAAGATAAGAATATATAGCAGAACGAAGGGAAAAGAAGGTGTTTCATGTTTCAGCTTCCAGTCAGTGTTGTGGGAACGTTTCTTTCAACACTCCTCCATGACTCAGTTGGGAGCAGGTTTGCAGCCACAACATCAATTTTCAAGCGGAGATGTTTTGGTCTACGATACAATCAGAAGGCCCATTCCTGAATCCAGGATTATTTGTCAGCCTGTTGTTTCTATATCTAGTCTGTGTCATCCACAAAAAAAAAAAGTTTAACATTTAGTCATCGGTGAAGTTCGTTTCTTCCTTTTTGGTGGACAGAGAAATGCTCGGCATGCTTTTTAGGTTGATTTAAAGAGCCGTGCTTTGGTGGAAGTGAGGTAATCTTGTCTGYGACTCGTGTCAAAGACCTCCAGGATTCACAGGAGCTCAGATTGGTCACACCATCCATCTCCCCCCCCCCATGATTCATGCAGAGAACTGTCATGGCACTTAGCTAATACCCCCACCCCTCCACTCAGGAACTGAAAGCACTTGTGTGTGTATGTGTGAGAGAGAGAGCAAGAGAGAGAGAAAGAGAGAGAGAGAGAGGACAAAACAGGGCTTTTATTCAGCTGGTAAAACTCACATGATGCACAAGTGGGAGGGAGCTGATATCCAGTGCTAGATTAGAGGCTGCATGCTCCTCACCTGCTGTTTGGTAGTAACTGTCCATTTGATCTGGCACTTATCTCCAGTAGCACAACCACACGTACTTAAATTATTAAAATAAAACCCAAGACATTTTCTTCTTTCCTCTATAAAGACTAAAACAAAGTCAAGGTTTTCTTAAATGATGCTGAGAAAGGTCCCATTCAGATCCTTTTTTTTAAAAATGTTTTAACAGTTTCTGTGAGTGCAGAGGCTGCAGAGCAATCCTCCGTTTGCTCTCTTGGTCGTTTTCATTCCCACGTCTGCCAAAACTAAAGGGTGCCTGTTCAATTTTCCACCTGAGGCACACTCGGCTCAGCCACGTCACGCACATTCTGCTACAATTTACTTCTGTGTAATCGTGATGACATTTGCTTATTGGTGTTCAGCGCGAAGCAAAACTTATCAAAAAGCAAAGATTTTATTAGAAKGGTTATATCACGCAAAATCCACTTTTTTTGTGGTTTTCGTTGTGTAGAAAAGTTTCATTTAAATCAGACTCTGGCTGCAACATGTTAAGGCTGGATGGACAAGTCTTCCATTGTTGACATCTTTTAATTAGTTTGTAAATAAGACATTTCTGCGCTGCTATAAAGTCGTTTGGATTTAAAGAGACAGCTTCAAAAGGAGTTGATCTGAGACACACCTCAGGAAAGGGGTGAAAGAGGGGCTTGTGGAGTTACAGGAAGGAGTAATTCAGACCAAAAGAATTAAATAGACCCCAACTAAAGGATTTAAATGTGAAAAGGAAGGATTTAAAGCAGGATATGTCTACTTTAAAAATATATATCTATATCTAGGGCTGCAACGAWTAATCGACAACTAATCGATTATTAAAATAATCGATGACTAATTTAATAATCGATTAATCGTTTTCTTTTTTTGTTCTTTACATTGTTTTTTCTCTCCAAACTGCTTTGACACTTTCCACTGCCACATCTGCCTTTCTGTCCTTGACACACATGCACAGTAGTGGTAACTGGGGTAGGCCGTGGACGTCATATCTGTCATATCTATCTATCTATCTATCTATCTATCTAGATATATATTATACACATTTTAATGTAGTTTTTAGGCAGAATAAACCAGCAGATATCATTTTTAATAGGCTAAGAAGGATTATAAAGTCAAAACAAAAGTCCWATATTACTTTTTATTGTATTTATCTACTTCGTAGTTATGTCATCAGTTTTCTAAGGGAGTATTGTATTTAGTCAAGCAGAAGTATGTTGAGAATGAAAACTGCCCACATGATGGGCTGAGTTTCTCCAGTCTGGGCTGTAACTTTGTGTGTTTCAGAGATCTTAAATCGTGTGTTAATCTTTAATCTTGTTTGTGTTAAATGTAATAAGTTTGTAATTGAGGCTCTCGATTTCACAGATTCCAGAAACGTCCCTCAAATTGCAAAGAGTATTCGGCAAATTGACTCTAATTTCTGCAGTTAATGACACAGACGGGTGGATGATCGGTTACTTACGGCTTGAGAGAAGGACCAAGATCGGAAATGTGGTTGATTGTATCTGTAGGAACAAGAGACAGAAAGCTCATTCAACAACGWATCGCCTCAGTCTGGACTTTCAAGTAAACTTTCTCATGCGCCAAGAAGGTTTCAGCTTATTTATAAGCACCAATTATGTTTATCTCTGCTATAATCTGACTAAATATTTTTGGAGGCAACTTAACCGTTGGCATTCAGTTTTTTTTTTTTTTGTTCTCCACTTTTTTCCAAAAGAGATTCCTATTTAATTTTTATTTTAAGTGGTTTACCATGATCAGGAGCCTTTTGCCAACTTTAGGAGGTTCTTTGCACAAACTGACCTCCTAAATTCTATGTGACACCTGATTAAATCCACCGTCAGTCAAACCTCATTTCATGCCACTTGTTTGTAACAGCCAGCAGCGATGAGTCACCTGCTTTCTTCTGAGATTTTACCGTGGCATATTCCAAACGTGAGTAATTTGTTTTGATTGAGCGAGGAGCAAGGCCGGATGTGATGCGTTTAGAGTGCGGCGCCGGGGACCAACGAGGAGAGGTTTGTGAGAACCGTTTTAGTCACCGATTCCAACAAACGCCTCGGGCCGAGCTCGAGATAGAAACTGCAATCCTCACCCGCTGCCGGAATTAACAGCAGGATGGGGTTATTTATGTTCTGAAAGCTCAGAGGAATCGAGTTTTGTCACAAGATTGGTATTTCGGAAGATTCCCCGGCAAGTGAAGGCCTCTCAGGGGCGGACACATCGGTGTGTGGGACAACTGGAGGTCCCGAGAGATGACTAAAGTCCTGAGTTGAATTAACAAACGAGTGATTCTCCCACCCCCACCCATTTTTTAAATCTGAAAAACCTCAAATGTTCTGTTCAAGTGCATGTCCTTGTCACATATTTTTAGTGATTTTTCCATGATCATTAAAGCGCTCCACCCGTCACCGTTGGCTTGTTTAAAAAAAAAAAAGATTCCACAGCCTGCTCACTGTCACTCCCACCCGCCCCTCTCTTGTTTCTCATGTGACCGACAGTCTTTAATCTGTGGGACAGAAGCAGAAAAACTTACCGGTTCAGGAAGTCACTGCTGGAGAACCAGCCAGGTTCCTGCGATACATAAAGAAATGTTAAATCATGCAAGCTGAAAGGCTCAGTTTGATGGAAAAACACTTATAGAAATGTCTTTTTTTATTGTATCTGAATGTTGAGTGTATGTAAATGTATAAGGTTATAGTAAATGTATAATTTCATGTTCAGAAAGTTAAAAGATGCCAACATCTGGATTTTTTGTTCTGGTAAAATAAGTCTTTTTTCCCCCCATTATAAATACATTCAGTATTCAAAAAGTCCTTGTGTTGAATCTAAACACTTTTTAAAAATGCATTATTTAAAAACTTATTGACAGATTTATTTTTTAACTCCTTATTTAATTTGAAACTTACTAAAATAATTACTGAGATTTAGAATAAGGAAACAGAAGAATTTATTATTTTTAGTAAGTTTTGGAAAAGGGTGGGAATAAAATGTTTACCTTTTCTCATTCCTTTTCAATGTTTTTACTTTAGTTTTTTTTATACATGTTTGAAATAAACTACCCAATTTGATGTCAGCAACTTAAACCAGTTCAAAATAAAAATCTGAGAAAGTTTTTTAAAGGGGAAAATTAGGCTTAATTAGGCCAACTGGTGATCGATAAGTAACATAATTTAGCATCAAAAGCAAATCTAATAAGCTGATATTCAAACTATTATCTGTTCATTTGGATCAATAAAGATAATTTATAAAGTGTCATATTATCTAGAATTAATGCTAATTTTCTGCTTCTTTTTAATTTAGTTTTTAAAAACGTGAGTGCTGTTTACACACATTTAGTGCCTGCTTTTGTCTTGTTAACAGTTACTAACAAAGGATGGCAACATTCTTCACACATGCACAAACAAGCAATAACTCATCGTTCCCATGCAACCATTTGTGTGATGTGCAGGCATTATGTGTTAGTGGTTAGCAAACTTCATGCAGCAGGTTGGACAGAGCACAGGTAGTGTTTAAGCAGACCACAGGTTTCCAGAAAGTGCAAATTAGGAGAACACCGAAGGCGACTTAAAGCTCAGCAAGCAGGGGCAGAGCAAGACATGAACACACCGAGAGAAGGAGGTAAGAGCAACAAACATTACATGCACGCACTGGGAAAAAAAAGAAAATAAAACAGGCAAAGGGGGGAAAAGGTGAGTGGTGGGTCATTTTTAACGATGGACACAACTTTAGCTTTATGGTGAAAGGAGTTGATCCTCTGCAGAGAAACATTTGTCAAATAAATGGAAGGCAAGGTAACTCTAACCTGCTGTTTAAATGTTTAAAACACAACATATGTGCAGGAAAAAAAAAGATCCTCTGACAGAAAACCTGCTTTGGCCATATGTTCGCCCAGCTGGAAATTAAATTTCATCAGAGTAAGAAGCAGTTACATAAGCATGACCATCTGAGACAGAAAAAGCAGGTAACTTGACATCAGCTCTCCTATTTCACCACATGCTTCAAAAAAACAGAAGCAGCAGCTTTTGCCTCAAAGTTAAAACCAGAGTCTGTTTCTGCTTTTAGCCTCTGAGAGGAAATTATTAATGACAAAACGTTTTCTTTTTTTCACTAACAAATTGCCATTTTAAGCTGGTAAAACGATACAGGAGTAAGAGTTCAGCAATGCAGTTTTTAGATTTTAAAAATAAAAAAAAGGCAATGCTTCATTACAAAGTCACATTTGGTAATCATTCAACACGCAAAATAAAGACAATACAAAAACTCAATGAAATGAACTGCAATTTTTAATAAAAAGCTTTGCAAAAAAAACCCTTTTTTTTTTTACAAAAGGCAGAAAAAGCAACAACAAACACTTCCTGTCGTTTCTTAAATAATACTGTCAGTTTGTCTCGTGTGGTTTTTCTATAGCAAAAGCCATCAGCAAATGATTAGATCTGTGTGTCCTAGAAGAATAATTCAAAACACTGGCTTTAAAATACACGTTTTTACTCTCAATATGTATACCAAAGGCCTTTATTGCAGAGCAAACTACAACACAAGATATAAAAGTTCACTATAGAGTGCATAGCCTTTTAAACATGCACAAAAATGTAATAGTGAGAAGATGTAAACATCTTTTGACCAAACATTTATGCAGCTTGGTTGCATAAAGTGACTAAAAATCTTATGCATAGCTTACAAGAGGCAACCAGTGGCAGACTGTGGTGTAAGAAACTAATGATAAAAATTCAATTCAAGGAAAAAAAACAGTTAAAAGCAGTTCCACTAAAAAAAACTTAAAATTATTTCTAACTGAAAATGAAAACCAAAGCACATACTAGTAAAACTTTAGTCTTTGAAGCATAAATATTGTCACCAGAAACATCTTGAAAAAATAAAATGACATAGCTTATTATGTATACAGAGGTCTGTAAAGAGCAAACAAGGCCAAATTCTTCTAAACCTAAACAGGTTCTTTTCAGTCTGCAGCCTGCAGGTCAGAGATGAGGGTTGTGGGCAGTGTTAAACACATAATGACTTAATGTAGTGAGTACAACAGAAGCAGGTTTGGTTGAGGAGGAGTTGTAGTTGCTAGTAGTAGTTGGTAGTAGCAGTAACGCCAGGGAAATATGGAGGTTTTGTGGGGGGAGGAGGGGGTAAGAGGAATGTGAGAAAGCCCGAAGCTGCCAAAAACCAGCTGGACGTTAACTATCAAAGGCACTGAGGAAGGACACAGGACAGGAACAGGAAGCCCCGCACAGGAAGCACATCATCAGTGAGTCAATAGCTTAAGCCGCGTGATCCAACTGACCAGTAGTGAGCGTTCTGCCGGCGCCCGCTTTGAGATGGAGGTCACGGCGGCCTTTTTCATGTCTTCCTGGTAGGGGATGGTGGCGCTGTTGTGGAGGTCTGAGTTGGAATAGTAGCGGCTGCCCCGGACGTGGTCCACTCGGATGAGGTGACGCTCCGCTGCAGGCCTGTATGGCGAAGATACTGATGGGACCTCTTCAGCAATGGTGGGGATCCGCTCGTTACTCAGGTATCTGTAGAGCAGGTCCTCACCTGGCACAAACAGACAGAACTGTTTTAAACTAAAGGGAGGGGGAAATGGTTTTAATTTTAAAAAATTTAAAAACAAAAAACAGAACATACCTTTCCTGCCTTGTGCCCAGGGTTTAGCATATGTATCAGCTATTTTAACACACGTATCAGCTGGCATCGACAGCGGCCGTGGCTTACCTGGAGACAAAAATTATTCATATTTGTTAAGATTTATTTTAAAAGAGAACCTGACTTGTTGTATCATTGAACACTAGTTGATAAACATTTACTTCAATTGTAGAACAAAAACTATAAAAATACTGTAGACAGAGAAAATTTAAAATGTATATAATGACACAGACAGTGCCATATTTTTTACACTGCAAAGCATACTGGGTAAATGGCATGTTCAGTAATTTCTCTGCCGGTGTAAGTTTTTTTTTGTCAGAATATAAAAATGACTCARCCTGCAACTAAAAACACATATGGAGGAAAACAGAGCTGCGTAATGGAAGGAGAAACGCAGCTTAGCCTGTTAGCTTTCGTGTTAGCGCCTGAGMTAATACATAGCTATATTGCCATGTGTTTATGCATTAGCTCGGGCGCTAACGTGAAAGCTAACAGGCTAAGCTGACGTTCTTCCATGAACCAGCTCTGTTGTCCTCTATCATTTTCAGTTGCAGGTTGAGTCATTTCTACATTCTCCTCTCTGYCGATGCACTTTGGCTTCCTTTAAAAGGGCTGATTGTCAGAAGGGCAGCAGAGAACCTAGTGAACATCATTAACCCAGTATGCTTTGCAGTATAAATAATATGGCACCATCMATGATACAACAGCCTACAGTATTTTTACAGTCTTTTTTTTTTTTACATTGAAGTTAATGTTTATCGAATAATATCTAATGTTACAACTAGTTGGGGTTCCCGTCAAGAATTGTCCGACTCTATTTGTAAGAGGAATAATGAAAAGACTCAATGGTGAGGAGGTACTGACCACGTGAAGGCCTATGTTCCCTCATTCTGGGCTGCATCACCGTAGCTTCAATTGGACAACCGGAGCCGAACTTGTCATRTTCCATGTCCGAGTTGCGTTTTCTGCTCTTCTGGTCCAGGAAGTAGTTGGGTGACTCGGAGCCCTTTGGTATTTTACTGATGTTTGATATCRAATCTGTTTTCATCTCTCTGCRTGCAGGAACAAATGTTCAGTTATTAATCACAGCATTACAGCAAAAAGTAGCATATCATGTTTAYGGAGACTTGAAATGTTTGTATCGCGGTACGTTCTTGGAGGCGTAACAGAAAACTGTTGAGTCATGCAGGTTATCATGAAGTCAGTGGAGGAAGAGTGGGCTGAAGATGAGCGGAGGAAGCATGGGGAGAGCTGCTGACGTGACYGAAGCCTACTGATCCCCCAGAAGCTGCACGTGTCTGATTAATAAAATCCAGCAGAAGTTTACTGCTCTTCTAGCAGTAAACCATTTGAGTTGAACATCTCATGCTCTATTTTTTTCAAAACCTTAACTTTTAGCGCTCCGCCCATTCAGTAAAGTGATCATAAACTAGCAGTTCTTAGACTGCAATTTTCTAATGAACACATTCATTTAGACCACAAAATTTTCAAATTCTGGCTCTACAGTATTGGGTGGGGGGTATTATGTATTTTCCAGGCACATACTTCCATTCTATACCACAATTTACTRACTATGTTACCTTCAGTTGTAATGAAAATGCTGTATATATCAAAAATAAAGTTGACTAAACACCTCAGTCTCTTTAAGAACTTCCCACCATTTCTGACACTCCCACTTCAGCACATTTTTAAATAACRCTTTAGGGGAGAGGTGCTCTGTGGGGCRGGAGTTCGGCTGCAGACTGAGCCCAGGGAGGAGCTTTGTGTAAAAAGGCGGAGCTTTGTACCAGCAAGCGTTTGGTCAACTCCATGCAGCTAACACGTGAGATTCAAGGATTTCTCAAACATTCACAAATGAGTCAAAGCAACACTCTGGGTATGTTTGTGATGCAAGAATGACAAAAACATGACATAAAGCTCAAAAAGTTGATTTTGCATGACACCTCCCCTTTAAATAAGAGGGATTTTTAAATAATCAAGATGGCTCACCTTGGGGTGTATGGCATCGAAGGAGGAGGGGGAATGTACAAGTCTAGGATTGCTGGCTTCTCCTTTTTGGTTGATCCATTAGCTGAACCGCATGGAGACTGAGCTCTGATCAGAGAGGAATTATTCTAGGGAGAAAAAAAAATTGAAATCCATCATTTAGTAAAACCTCAATCTATTCTCCAAAACCACAGAGTCCATTTCTCAATAATCTACAATACACGTTATCACTCGGTCCTGGTTTCTGGATGAAGTTTCTTCAATTTCCAAATATGACTCGCTGGCTGATGGGAGGAGTTCACCATAAGTGGTGAGACATTTAGTGTGCTTGTGTGTGTTTAAGTATAAATTTTCTTGTTTGAGGTAAGGAAAGATTGTAATTGAAGTCTAAAATAGCCTGTRAGATGTTCACTTGTTCACCACAGTTATGTTCCCCAACTCTCAGCAACATTGTGTCCACTAAACATTTGACTTATTTTCTGCTGCAGTTCTCAAAGCTGAAACAGTACAGCTGTTATTCCAACTTAGAGAATGATACAATAATGCCAAACTAAACATTTCATTAGTTTTTTTTCTTCTTTTTCTGCCCAAGTTGCCCTCATGTGCAGAAACTGTACAAAGTTTATATTTGGAACCAGGTGATTTTATTATCCCTGTTTTGACTGAAGCCTCATTATCACAGATAAGGTGAGATGACCGACTCTGGCATCTTGGAGTACTTGTTGGAACAGATGCTGGTTTACACAACCTCCACCGTTTTCAGAACGTCTGTTGTTAGACGATCTCAGCTGTAGTGGTATTATCTCATCTCCTCGTCCCTTCTCAGGTTATAAAACAGGCTACGCATGACTGCACAGTTCTTCAGCTGGAAACCAGGCTGTCTACGTTTACAGCAGGCTAACTGACTCCCAATCGATTAAAAAGAGACTCTAGTGTAGAAATATAGTARAGCTCTGAGTTTTGTGGGGGTTTCACCTGCTAATTGTGAAAAATACAAATTTTGGATGTRGTCCAGAAAAGGTCTATAGCACGTTTGAGGAGCCATCGTAATGAGGCAAGACAAACACAAGAGCTACACAGTTAGCAGCTACATGTAACACGATACTGTTAAAAGGCTGAAATGCTGCGCTCTGGGTGGAACGTGGGCACAGGGCATGTGTCATGCACTGCACTGCACTGCACTGCACTGCACTGTATTTTTTTAATGGAACTAAATTTATGTTAATATTTATGCTACAAAATTAGTAAATATTATTGCTCTTAACAATTATATTTGAAATTTAAAAAAAGCACAAGAGAAAGAAAGAAAAAAAATTGATGTTCTTTACTGTCCTGTATTTCCGGTTTCCGCACAGCAAACTACAAGTAGTTAGGTTCCATGAAAAAAAAAATCCAAAAAAGACTGAGTCCACTAACTGTGAAACACRACTTTGCAGTGCTTCACTGTATGGTTAAAACAGCAATTCCAGWTGGCTGTGTTCACGATGGTGCATAAAAATCAGAGTTAGCTAACTTTAGAGCCAAAATATTTACCAGCTGCCTTGGATCGTTCTTTAACCACCGGATGTTTTGTTATGAAGAAAAGGAAATAAAGATTAACCCGAGTACAATACTTTACGCTTCACTGGCTTCTTTTAATGGCAACATCTGGGTCGTTTGTGTCTAATAAAGCCTATAGAGTACAGACTGGCAGCTTTATCTTGGGAGAYTGAATGACCTCATGGGAATTTGTTCCTCGTCTTTTGTTGTGCATCAAGATAAAGCTCAGTGGTGTATTCAGTTCAGCCAGCAGCACTTTCAGGGTGGCTCYGTCTGAACTTGTTCTTTTGGAACCAACTCTTTCAAAACCCAATAATTGATTGGCAGTGATTAYACTGTACAGACTTTGGCTAAATTTTACAGAAGAAAGTAMGAAATGTGAATGGGAGTGAGTACCTGTGGTACAGGAGGCTTCCAGCGCATGTTCTTAAGAGGGGCCGGGGTGAAACCACCTGTGCCGGTGGGCCTCTTCTTAAGTAGTAGAACCACACCTTTGGGGTCCTCCCTCAACTTAAAAACAAGATTTTTCAGCTGCCAGCCAACCTGGTAAAAACAATWTTAATACACGCATTAAACAACACTCCTAATTAGTGCTTTATTTAGAATTAAGTAGCACAAAATGAGATTCTCACCACAGTCTGCAGATTGACTTGTATCACCTCATCTCCTGCATGGATCTTCCTTGATAGATCTGCAGGAGACTAAAGAGTAAAAGTAGACCATGAAGATTACTTTCAGAAAACTCTGCACAGTTTACTTTGAAAAACTGACCTTCCTACACAATTCCTACTGGTATTCCAACAAAACCAACACTTAAAAATAGTGAGAGACTCTCGGTTTTTGAGTATGAATCTCAGCAGAATTGTTTCTCGTGTCACAGAGATGCCAAACAGGATTAACGTGTCATTATTGTTGATGATTCAGGTCCTGATTTACGTTAAGGCACAGGAGGCGTGAAGACTGGACTGCAGCACTGACGCTTGTGTGTTAGTCACCGACAAGTTGTCTCTGTGTGGGTAATAGGTCTGTTTTTTTTTTTTGTGGAGGTTGTTATATTTGCTGGTAAGCTGAGTGAAGAAACAAAACAATTCCCCTTTTGGATGAGTAGTTCTTAACGCCTTCAGATTTTGTGAGTTATGGTATCCACAGAGGAGGAGGAGGAGTGTTTGTTCTGCTGATATCAGGAGCTTTTTTWAATTAAACTTTATTTTTTTACTGTATTATTTTAAAGTGACTTCTGTCATACTTACATGTTCGGTGGTTCCAGTGATAACGTGTAGACCATCATACGTAGACTTGATGTACATTCCCTAGTTTATAAAAACAAACACAATGTTCCCAAAGGGGATAAATTCAAAGTGGGGCAACAATTCGACATGCATTCCTGGTAAGATATCAAACAAGCATACAGCACGTTTTTGAATGTAACAAGCGGAAAAAAAAGGGAAGAAAAATGTGAGCATTTCTCACCAGACCCTCGCCTGGCTTGATGTCAGTCAGCTGGACTTCCTCCAAGCACGCAGACTGGCTCATGAGGGGGTCAGATGTGGTTCTCACGGTCTGATCGCAGATATTGTTCAAAACCTTGGACTGCAGAGAGAAACAGCAAAATGGAATGTATCAGTWGCTATGTTTACATGGACATAATTAATTGGAATAGATGGCCAAGTGTAATAAATATGCCTTGTAAACGCCCCAGTTGGAATATTCTGATTTGATTCAGCTCAACTGGAATGAATTTGTAATCCGAATGAGAGGGGTGGTATATGCTGATTGATAATCTGAACAGCGTGCATGTAAACACTTATTCTCATCATGTTWTTCTGGCTGTGGAAACCTGACCTGACTGCATGTGTGCCCTATTTCAACCTGATGCACTTCCTCCTGGCTAGATGCTAATATGTCGGGGAAGCAAAGCTGGTCGATTAGCGATCCATTTCTACTAGAAACTTTGAAAGAACTCAAAAATATCGAACGCCTTTATGGTTTAAAATGTAGGAAAGTTGAGTGTAGTAATGTCTCCACTGTTATTAACACTTAGAATGGGTCTATTCTACAACTCTGAACGTCAGTACTTCTGTAAGAAAATTTTAGTGTTCATTAACTGAAGCCGAGACGAAAACACATAAATGTTGAATAAACTGTAATGTGAAAGGAATGAGGAGCATACAACTCCAGTGACTGGATATGAATGGTGGTTTAATGCTGTCAATGCAAGCAGGAAGCCAACGCGGACCAGAAACCAGAAGTTCCAGCATATACTGTATATACGTTCTTCAGTATGGAGGACCAAACCTATCATTATTGGAAATAAATGTATAAATATATAACTGGCGTATTAAAATAAATTATAGGGTCAAAAAGAAGTTTGACAAATAAATTATTGTGMCATTAAATCAATTACATCAATTATTTAGATATAAATGTGTATTTACATTTTAATTTTGAAGGRTTATATTTTCTCTATGTGCTTTATCACATATTTTTTGTTTATGTTTATTCATTACAAGTACATTTGTTGTAATTTGACTTTTCCAAGCCATTATTTTCTTCTTTCACATTTATCACCAATCACATATATTTAAAACATGCTTTTTCACCTAATAATATTTTATTTGTCAAATTATTTTATCGTTCTTTTTTTTCTTAAACACTGATATATTTTCTTCTATTATATACCTTTGTTGTATATTTTTACCAAACACATTTCCCTGAGCCCATTTATTTTTATCTCTTTTTTTTACATTTCTTGCTGGCTGTATTGTCTTTTCCAGCTCCACATGCAGCAGGGAATGTAAAAACAGAGGAGGCGGTCTTAAGAAAAGCGTCACCGCCCCAGCTTCTCGCCTATTTGCCGAGGTCTAGTTTAAATTCCTTTAAACTAGACGGTGGAAAATAAAGGGAGATGACAAGGAAACAAAACAAGAGAGAAATACTGTGCTTGGCTTGTCTGTAACAACTACAGGAAACCTGATTTAAGTCCCAAAAGTCTGGAGAGTGTCAGCAACAGGAAACACTGATKGATGGTTGGGGCGTATTAGACCCGCCCCCTCCACTGGCGATCCTATGAACCCGTCTGCTCTTTTCACTCAGAAAATGACCTTGTTGCTGAAAGCATGTCACGCAGTCTTGATGTCAAAAGACACTATGAAATCTTCTGGGTCTCATTTAGTTTAGATTACATGAAATTATGGAATGAGATACAGCATACTTACAACTTCAAGGATCTTTTCTTCCATCTCGTAAACGCTGCAGTCCTGTTGCGAGGGAGACAGTGGCGACAGGTTAGACTTGTGTGCAGTAAACAAGAGAAGAGAAAGAAGGTATTTAATGGCTAGAGGGGAAAAGAAAGTATAGGGGTTAGGTAGAGACAGTGTAATCAGAATCCTACATATAGAACAGAGAGAAATGGAGAGCAGCCACAAATAAACAGCTTTTAGTGTAAAATTACATCTTTGCCCTACATTTTGCGGGTGCCGTAATTGCATAACGTCCGTTGCGGTTCATTTGTGTGCGGCAGGACTTAAATATGACTGAAACACTCGTTCAGTAACATGTAGATAAAGCAGAGGTAAAATGTGCAACCATGCTTGGAGAAATGGTCCCCCAAATAGTGTTTAGGTTTTTTACAAATATTTAGATGCAATGCTCCTTTCCACAGTTGCGAGTGGGTGGGCTTGTGGAGTCAGAGGTCTCTACAAGTCAAGTGGGAATATAGCTGGGATTTTTTCGTTGTTGTTGCTGAGCTGTTGGAGATGCTGATGTAACTGCAGTCAGYCAACTGCGCTGCTGCTGGTGAAGAGGGTGGGGTGACTCTGTGAGGATAAAACCTCAAGGCTAGTCRTCCTTCAAAACATAGAAGAAAATGCTTGTCAAAACCAGACAGCACAAAAAAACTACTCATCCTTGCCTCTTTATTTTGAGAGAGCCCTCAAAATCCACTGACTATTGTCAATCCAAAGTTAAAGAAAACTGGTATTAAAACATGCAAGGACTTGTGCCAAGCACAAAGACAGATCTGTTGCTCTTTGTAATCTCATTGTGTAGACAGTGAATGGGGGTCGAGAAAGTTTCTCTGCATTTCCATAGCTTGCACATTCCACGGGGCTAAAGGGGAGCATCTGTTTTCAGACACACTTGGCTCATCATCCTGATGGTTTGTTTGCACTGACTAGATCTGCACAGCAGGCTGTAAGCAGGGACTTTATAACAATGTATACAAAAACATATTTTGCTCTTTTTAAAACTTATTTTACATTTGTGTTAAAAGGAACATATGCAAAATCCACTTTTTTTAGCCATTAAATACATTTTGTTGTGTACTTGTCTCTATGAGTGCAGAAAAGTTTAATTTAGTTTCTCATGGTGCTGCGTATATATCTTTATTTTCTGTTTGGGTCAGATTTTTTAACCTGTTCAGTTTTCCCTATTTTCTATGATGTTTTCTGAACTATTACATCTTGGTCTTACCAATTACAATTTTGTCATTTTCATTCTCCTTTAGCTCCAACGTGTAAGGCCGGATGGACAAGTCTTCAGTTTTTGACATCTTTTAATTATTTGTAAATAAAATATTTCTGCGCCTCTATATAGTCGTAAACTCCTCTATCAAACTGTAATAGAATGCTCTGTAAGCTGAAGGGAGGCAGGTTTTGAAATGCTTCATTTATATTCAAAGACACAGCCTCAAAATGAGTTGATCTGAGACACACCAGAGAAGGGGTGAAGTTGAGTTAGCACTGCAGTTCCACTTTAAAGACACCAATTGAATGATTTAAATGTGAAAAAGGATTTAAAAGCATGATGTGTCTCCCTTAAATTGTCGGTAAAAGAATAAAATAAAAACTAAAACTTCAACTAAAAAAGTGTCATCTTATGAAAAAGGAGCCAAAAATGTCTCCATTAAGGACTACACTGTAATAATTGACCATCTAACCAAGTCTTTTTATCTTAAATTCAACAAAAAGTATTTTTGATCTTGTTTTGATCCTGACATACTAAGCCAGAGCAGAATGTTTAGATTATTAATTTTGTTGGCCTGGAAATTTTCCTTTTTTCAAGAATCTTACAAAGTGCAGTCATCTTTAGCCTGGTTAAAACCAACCCCTTATCCTTTGCGGAAACTAGAACTGAGCGGAACTGTGTAGGAAGGCAAGGGCCAGGCTAAGTCATCTTACTCCATGGACAGATTATTTCACTTAATTTGAGTCTGAATGTTGTCAAATTTTTCAAATTGAATAAAATAATCTGTCCATGAAATAAGAGAATCGCACTTGGTAATATTCTTGAAATAAGGACAATTTCCAGTAAAACAAGTTTAATAATCTAAACACTCTGCTCTTGCTTAATTTATCAGTATCAAAACAAGATCAACAATACTTTGTCTGGATGTAAGATAAAAAAAAACTTGGTTAAATGGATCATTTTTGCAGTGTACATTATTGCGGTTAGGTTGTGATTTTGTCATGGTTTGTTTTCTTTCTTGACGGCRATCTAAATGCCAAAAATGAGTCTAAAACTTACAGAAGCAGCACACAAATGGTTTTAATGGACATTTTGGTCCCAAAACCATGTTTCCATACAAAGCAATCTCTCTTGTCAGACTTGAATATATGGTGGTTACAGAAAGAATTTAGCTATGCTTGCATAAACAAGCAAGTGCATATTTTCTGTGGCCTATGTTCAGAGACTAAGCCAGAAGGGATAAACTATAAATACATACTTCATAGTTTAAAAGATCATGAAACAAAACAGTTTAAAATGGACTGCAGGGAGGAGTTGGCATCTGTCCCATCAAGCTTCAACATTTAGACAACTTTTCTTATCAAAACCTTGTAAAAGCAAAAAACACAGATAATCGTTCAAAAATCTGTTTGCAACATCCAAACTAATATTAGATCTCCAGGAAAAAGCAAAAACAGGAGTTGGATTCTAACTCTGCACTGTGAGAGGCTGAGGGCCAATTCCCTGGCTGAACTGATCCCTTWCACTGTGGACTTGACCCTACAACCAGTGTGGATCAGATTACCCTTGTTGTGCAGCTTTATGGGCTTTTGATCTGACACCAGAGTGGATTTGCATGGCCAAGCAATGAAGTGGCTCAAAGGGCAGGGGGGTGCTGGCAGAGTCTGAGAACCTGGACTTCCTTCACACCAGCAGCAAAGCACTAACCTTCTGACAKTCTGGCGTTCATCTGATACCCACACTATCACTGATGGATGTGACAGATTTTTTTTTCAGTAATGAGTTTGATTAATTTTTGCCAAAAAAATGACATAAATTTCACATCTGCTCCAACAAATTAAGAACAGCACCCATTAATGCACTTTTTGAAGGATGATCTCCACTTTGCTGCGTCGGCCAAGATTGGTGATGTGTTTATAGCTTTATATCCCTCCTACATTGTCAGTGAACACACCAAATTCATTCAGGTGCAACACATAAAAGCTTTAGTTTTGAGCTGAAGTTTATGAAGAGTCTGAGCAAATCTGATGTTATACTCTCCCATCATAAAACCAATCACAGTCTTCTGCACAACCCACATTATTTGATGTTTGATCAGATTATTGGTTAATAAAGCAAGAATTTTAAGAATTTATAACAGTTTCTATACATAAATGATGGRGTTACTTAGTTGCAATGAGTTAAAAACGCATGTCTTAGACTCTTTTCATCACCTATTAGGCCTTCATTCAGCACTGTGACTCCTGTACAAAACATGACAGTGTGGGAAATGTGTGCCCCCCACTTCTCCTGGATGACCATGACTGAGACGCCCACAGTAAATCACAAGAGGTGCTGAAATCCCAGACTCTGGCGAGGAAAGGGGCACTCTGGGAAAGGAATTTATTTTGATACAATAACCCTCTAAAAATGACACCTGGCGTCTCTGCAGCCATGTTCACAAGCAGTGCCAAAGGCTTAAGACACGCCCCCTCTCTCCAAAAAAAGGGATGAGAGACTATACAAMTGTAATGAGTTGATTTTGAGAAAATATGTGCAAACTATATGTTTTTGCCAAAAACCTTTAATGCATGAAACTAATAAAAGAGTAACTAAGATTTAACACTACTACTTTATCAGTTAAAAATAAAATCTGCAAGCTGCTTTCAGTTTGTTCTCCTGTTGCAGGCGTCTTAAAGAAGCCAAAACAGGAACCACATGGCTGAAGGACGCCTGCAGCCTGGGGAATGTTGGCAGACACCTTTAAAAGAACGCCGGTGGAGTTTTATTAAGCTGGCAATGAAAAAAGAGAAACGTTCACCAATAAACGGCTCCATGCCGAGGGAGGGGGTCACCTCATTAGCCAGCATGAGGGGGAAAATATCCCAAGAAAAACAGCAGCTTCTGTTAATAATGTGCTCAGACGGCTGGCTTCAGGCTTATGTCACGGCTGCCAGACCATTTTCCCCCTAACTACCTCTTCTTGCACATTTTATACTGCATGTCTATGCCCGTGAGTCGGTATGTGCCTAGTGGAAAAAGCTATTATGTGTGCGTTTCCATGGGGTTAGCATTTACTGTTAGCATGCAGACCTGTTGAACTGTAGTGGTGAGCTCCAGACACAGCTGAATGATCTTGTTCTTGRTGGCTGTGAAGTCACTGATCCCAGTAAGAGGTGTCCTAAGTTGAGATAAAAAAAAGGAGAGGCAATACAGCTGATTGCATAGTTGACATTATTTAGAGGCTACAGAACTGGTGTACTAAAATTTATGCTCAGCAGATTAAAACAGCTGGGAGCCCTTTTGATACCCGATCTAATAAACAGAGCTAATAAAGCATTATCACCTGTCGAGCCAAGCCAAAAAGCTCTTAGCAGCACCGATCAGCTCCACTACGGAGGTAAGAAAGTCGTTCTGAGGTTTGCGGGAGCTGCTGCCATCATATGCTGGGCTTTTTCTGCGGTCGGACGTAGCCATGTGTAAACTACTGGTTGCAGCTCTCATCCTCACCACCAGATTCTTCAAGTTATCCGTTTCCACTCCATAGTTCTAAAGAAAAAAACAAACAAACAAAAACATAACAGAGAAAAATGAGTAAGCATAGAAAAAAAAATTGAGCACCTTTACGGCAATCAAACGTAATAATGTAAACTTGGGAGGGGTTTGCTGTTTTGTTTTGTTTTGTATCCCTGGGAAAGCATGTTGTTTCCTGTACAGTAAGTAATCATTTCTTTGGCAGATAAGATACCATAGGCATAAAATTCCACCCATGAGTCCCCAGATTAGCTCCTGGGTGTGCACGAGCCATAACATGATTTTTATCATCAGGTTTACATTCTTCAGCTTGGCTAGTTTCCTGACTTTGCATTCTGCTAATTTATGGATATTTCACAAGCAGAAAGAAGCCAAAGGGTCACAAGTATGAGCACTGATTTGTGGAAGGCTGGGCTACAACAGAATGCACATTGTTTTATTTGAAGGTGAAACATGTCAGACAAATTGTATTAGAATATTGTTTTCACTAAAGGTTAACAGGGCATGGCACGGTCAGCTCTGGTCCTGGTATTGCTGCCAGAAGTGCTGCTCTGTGTTTGACATGCCAGCAGCCAAGTAAAAGAGCAAAATACCACGTGTTTGGCAACYGCTGGAAATCTGCAAGTTGTTAGTGTCTCATTTTATTCTGCTCTCTCTCWAACATATGGACTAAAATAACACACACAAATCAGTTCTTTCATTTCAGCACCAAAGGAAACACTGGAGTAAATTGGTCTAGTCAAACAGCAGCTGAAAGCAGCTTCATTCGCGGCACACTTTGCATTAAATGGAGTGTTGCAACATTAAGAAATATGCCAACACAATCAAAAGAATTGAAGCAAAGTAACAGAAAGGAGTCATCTGATCTTCTGGCTTCTCATTCAGCCATTCGAYTATTCAAAGTGCACGAGCGCAATGTGGGGAATTTTTTCCAAATCAAACATCTCTTGTGGCTTCTTATTAGCAGGCTGCTCACACACTCCCAGCGCCTCTGACCGCCTCACTGGTGCTCAGTGAGCTTTTGTYTGACAGTTCCAGCTCAGCAAGATAAAACTCCAGTGGTTTGAACTAAAGGCAACTTTCACTTTTTACAAAGTTTCAAGCCAAACTTTCACCTGGTCTGTGTCTTTTTTTAGGAGATAAATTCCAATCAAGAAAGCAGAAGTTTTACTTGTGTACGCTCAGGTTGATGCCTTTTGGGAGAAATGACGAATGGCAATCATCACACGCCCACACTCTCTTTCACTGCAGGCATTATGMGCTTGATTTGAGTATTAAAAAGAGCACAAATAAAGCCTGTGAATCAGCTAAATCAACCTTAATGTAATCAAAGACTGTATTAGATTGTAGACTCAACAACAAGTACATATAGTTAATGTAGGCTGACATTATGAATTAATGGTGGGTTGCTGTAGTTTGAGAAAAAATCTAAACATKTTGGGTTTCAACACCAGCTCTGTAAAAGACATCACGGCTGATAAATGTCCACCAAAATGAACCTAATGTGTCTTATAATCCCTAGACAACAGTTTGGACTTGAAAGCTTTCGGGTGGAAGAAAAGCTTGATTATGAATGCTTCCTAGAGGGTTTAGGGTCTGGATGTAAGGACATCAATCACTGTGATGTACATCTGAAAATGCAAGCAGAAACTGACGCTATGATAAAGTTATTCTTATTGTTAAACAATTTAAAAAAAACTGCTGGGTCACAGAAATAGACAGGAAGTGTCTGATTAAAAATAAACAAAAAAAGTGGGTCGGGGGGAAAAAGAAGCATGTAAGAGGAAAAAACATGCTTGGTGGCTTGAGTTCCTGTCAGCAGCAATGACCTTGCCTTGGTTTAAAGAAATTAAATCTGGGGCTTCACTTCCTCCTGTGGGACATGTAGAAATCTGAGGCCTCATTCCTAACAAGCAGGACCCCAACGGACAAAAAGCATTAAAGYTGCRCTATTTCAGTCGGAGGTGAGAGGTTGCTGAGAGTCCAGAAATCCTGGTTTTGAGTTTGACACGAAAAGGGGAAAAAAGTGTCWAATACTAATAAACTCACACAAGTTTATTATGCAGACCAATAGCTGCAAAAACATGGCAGCAAAATTATCAAAACTGTTTGAGATTTTTGCAGCAATGATGCAAAAGATTCTATGGATGTGCAAAAACCTGTGTCTCATTACTGGAACAGTAAAAGATGGTAAGGATCAAAGGATGCTCCATATGGTACAATTTCCACAATGAGTAAATCTATAAAGACAAAGAGCAACCATATACAGGCTGAGTGCTTCCATGTGTCTGTGCCAGTGGTAACAGGTAGAGAATAATCAGTCATCTAAAACTMAAACAATTCTTTTCTTTTTAGATAAAAAAAAAATAGAAGAGATCGGTAAAATCGGCTAAGAATGGCATTAAAAAGACTTTTCCAAACCTCTGCTTTAAGCTCAGCATCAAGTAGAGATGCAGCTTTCTTGTAGAAAGACTAGAAGTCACCAGGAGTAGGAGAGTATTGCAAAGGATTTTAAGAGAACATAAAGACAAAAATGCTGATCAAAACGCAGAAACCGCAATCTGGGAGTTTTATGGCACAGGAAGTGATAAAACTTCCAAATCGATCCCATCTGCTGAAAAACCTGGTTTTCTTTGGAGCGCGGATGAATTTTTTTTTTATCTGTTTTTCATGCTGAAGGAGGGAACATTTTTGGGGGAGCTGTGATGATAGACTGCTGGTCCATTGTTTCCAGAGGTGAGTAGCTGGAGACGCATGTGGTATATCAAAACGATCTTACTGATTTACTGACTCCCCCAAAAAATATCTCAAACTGCCAGTCCTCCTGAAACACGTGGGAAACGATGAACCCTTCTGCATGGTTGGTTCCTTTCGCTGCTGAACCAGAAACAACAGACTGAAATTCTTTAATACAAACACAAAGAGCAAGAGGAGAAGGTTCAGTGAGCAGAAGAGCTAATGTTCTGTTCCTGAACATACACATCCTACCATCTGACCTTTTTCTGTGGAGTTGAACTAAAATGGACCACATTGACATGTACTAACCAGAGCACAGAGCAGATCGACGGCCTCCAGAACAAGTTCCTGGTGTCCGATCCTGGCTAYGCCCAGCTCCTCCAAGTCCTGATGCGTGATCTTCAGTAGTTGTTCTCCGCTGATCTTCTCCCGCTCAAAGTTACCAACATACTGCTGTAAGCTGTCATCCAGCCCTAAATACATTCGAGAGAAAGAAGACAAAAAAGGACTGATGAGACGAGGTTTACAGAAAACAGTGTGTTGTTTTCATTCACAAAGMTCTTTGCTACAAAGGAGATCTTTTGGATTCATTTATCCACGAGACTTTCTAAGCACTTTCCACAGCAGATATGACTCTCATAAATCTAAACTATCCCTTCAATGCACAAACACAACCAACACAACTAGATGTTACCAAATTTATTAACACGTGCCCAAAATGTGCAAGTGTCCATGTGTGCATAGTGCAAATAAGGAACAGGTGGGACATCTGTTTCTGCCAGATAAACACACCATAAACAGAGTAACGGTTGACACCTCTAAGTCTGTTAAGCTGGTTAAACAATAGGTTCTATATTTGTGTGTGGATGAATTGTGTGTGTACGCGTGTGGGTGTGGGTCCTAGCAGTAATCGAGCCAGTATCAGGGACGGCCCATTCCTGCTATTTAAAGTCCTGATACCAAATGAGTTTGACCGTTACAACACCAACTGCTGCAGTCACAGGATGCAACTTCCACAGAATAGAAGGAAAGCAGCATTTTCTGACRTTGAAGAATAAGTTCCACATTGTTACCGCAAAYAAAAACGATCTCTCCACAACATGCGACAGAGGGGAGAAATGAGCCTTTGTGTGTGTTAGGTTGTGAGGGAGAACGCCATGCCTCCCCTCCATCAAAGAGCGCACAGAGAGGTGGCAGCTGCAGCGACATGGCCCCGTGCCCTGCATCTCTGAAAGACCAGTCAGCTGCAAGACACCCCAACTCTTTCAAACCGTACCACACACAAACTTCTGCACATATAACGTTATGCAGACTAAAACATCCTGGGGTATATTTCGAGATGCACGAGCAATGATTTTAGGCAATATTTATCATCGGCAGAGCGTGAGGTTGAATGAAAAGTCTGGGTGTGTTTGGCGTTTGCTGCCTTTTTGATGTCTGTTTTCCTTGGTTACACTCACCGTGTGCACCTGTTGCTGACAGTTTGCATACAGGAAAAACAAACGTGGTTGCCTCTGTGTGTGTGTGTGTGTGTGTGTGTGTGTGTGTGTGTGTAAAGGGTTAGTCAGTGCTGACCAAACACGAGCAGACAGCTTGTATTACAAATTCAGCAGCACTTCATCAACCTGTTAAAAAGCACATATTCAGAAACTTGTTTTTGTTAAAGCACAAAAATCTGAATTTATAAAGTGATTTGTTTTACGGAGCTAACGGGAAAAAAAGAAGAGATAAAGTTAGGTTTAGACATTCCYTCTTATCAAGCTTTAAGCTCAGATAGATTCTAATTATCAGTGTCGTATTCAAAACAAACTCTTTGTTCTGACTAGTTTGTTTTTCACATCAGGGATCACTTGATTGAAAAATGAGGCAAAGTTTTAAAAACGATGTCACTTATTCCATCCACCAATCAGAATTTACAGCAATCAAACAATGACTTGGAGGGAAGCAAATACAAAGTTAATCATTAGAAATATTTAACTGAATGAAGATTTATTTTGATGAAACAAGCCATTATAGTTTGGGAACTTCAGGTTGGCAGTCAAGATTAACTCAAACTGACCTTTGCCATGTATAAAAACTGGTTTAAAACTCATACTTCAATAAAGCAACAACGTCAACTTAACGCCCAAAATCCTTGCCAAATCACAGTTCATGTGACAACTTAAATCACAAGGAAAGTCCTTCAGGATAATCATTAGCCTACACACAAGTCAAGTCCAGTTAGCCTCATTACATTCTTSTAATTCCAAGGTATTTTAATTCTTTGGGGCAAGACTTCAGAGGATTCTATTAGAATAAACTGTCTGGCATTCTTTGAAAGAATTTCCTTCAAACTGGAAGAAAGGGACTGGGAGTGCTGGCCGAAGCCAAACACTGAGCCAGTGGCCTAATGCGATTACAAGAAAACAAAGACTTGGGATCTGGAGGAGACAAAGTTTCTCCCTTCTGATGTGTTAAAAAGGCATTTCCTGTGGAACACAGAGTCACCGTCCTCGAAAGTAGTGACACAGTGGTTTGACCTACAAAAAGATCCTCGTTTTACTTAAACTGTTCTAAAAGCACATAATATGATTTAAACATGCTAGACAGTCTGGAATTTAAGTGTTAATTCTGCTAACTGATGGGCTTGTCATTAGTCTGTTTCCAATTTGATTAATTTGCAACATTTTCAGATGTGAGAATTTAGAAATTCTCTGAAGATTTTAAGTAGAATAATTGAGTTTTTTATCTGCATAAAAGAATGACCCCCAACACCATGGTGCTCTGATAAACAGCGAAAATGCATTCTTCTTGCATTAACTTCCAAGGAGCAGAAAAGGAAAATGGTCACCCAATATTTCCTGCAGACTCAACACCTTCACAGTGAAATATGTAAAAAAGGGGATGTCCTTACAGTGGAGCTTATAAAAAAACATTTATTATGTTTCAATCAATAGCTGCTAGGGTGTATATGTGTGTTAGACTATCAGTTTTCCTTAAGAAACCAGTAAAAACGATAAAGTATCACGTTATGGTGAAGTGAGCAAAAGGGGAGGCGGAGGGGAGAGACGTGTGAGTCCTTTTCAAAAGCCTACACAGGATGAAACGTTTTACAGAAGCTATAAAACTCCTCCAAACTACTTGGCAAATGTTCTCTAACCAGACCAGGTGGGTGCAGCAGAAACAGAGGCGTACTGATACGACAACTGCACCGCCAATAAGCCGAGGCACGAATTTCACCCCTCAATATAATTTCATTTGGAATTTTTAGGAATGTTTATCACAAAATAAAGACACTTTTAAAATGATTAATTCAGCTGGCAAATGAAAATAATGGAAAAAATGAATCTAAATTGTAGTAAAAAAAGAATGAATTTGCCAGTAAATTYACCTAGCTAATAAATTAGGCAGAAATAGTAACAGCTCTGAGATTTAACATTTTGTATTTTTTTTTCCTTTGGATCAGATCCAAAAAACATTGTGAAGAATTAAACATTCTCTCACAGTTAAAACAAATTATGTTCTAAAAACGGAGTTCAAAATAAAAATCAAATATAAAATGCCACAATGTTCACAACAGCCTGTTTCAATTTGTGCATTTTCTTTACAAGTGTTGCTGGATATGGTGTGAATAAAAATTCTTTGGTACGTAGTTTCGGAAAAGACACTTTGAAAAGATGAGTTTCATCTAAACACGTTACTGAAAAAAAAATCATTAATAAGCAGATTTTTATAGAAACAATTTGTCATAGTTCAGCTAATTCTTGTTTTTTATTTCCAAGTGTGTCACCTGCTGTTCACAGTGGGATTTTCTTACCACCCACCATCTCAGTTTCAGTAAACAGTCATTATGTGCAGAACAAGTTACAGACACATCTTCAGTCTCAAACAGGCAGATTTCTGGACAGCTGAAAAAGCAAGAACTGGACTGAGAAACACAAACTGAACCAGACCCATTTGGAGGCCTTAATGACCAGCAACAGCAGCACAAACACTAACTTTAGGCAACTTAACCAATAAAACTTATACCGCCTGTAAACTGGAGTTTGATTCTTAGATATACAGAACAATAAAACACCAGACTGGATATAAAGTGGCATCTATAAATGATAGGTCAGGATCTTTTGCATTTGTGCAACAATAAACATTTACACTAATTCATTGCTCTGAAACATTTTGATTATTAATACGTTCAGTGAAGATTTTGGTTGCCAGCATTTGGTTCTCAGGGGTTTGATTACACAAATGAAAGAGTGAAACGTCCCACAGAGACAACAAAACAAGCTCCCTCCCCCTCCATCTTTGAACCCATCTCTGTGCTCCCAGTGGGAGCTGTAGCCACCATGTAACAACCACACACACACAAACCAATATCCCCACTGAGGTGGTCAGTGGGAAAGCTACTGGGTGTAGAATAGCAAAGCCACTGTAACTCCACTGTCTTTATACGTAGGCCCAGTCTCTGAACCTGTGGGGAACGGCCAGGAATTCGACTCATTGTTCTCCGCTGAGCAGCCTCATTGTGGGAACCCGCGGTACCTCTGGCACAATGGTCTCGGTCTGGACCGGGCGTGCTGTAATTAAAAGGGAAAAGAAAGCTCCTCTCGGCTACTGCTAAGCTTTTCTCTAATGCATGACTTCACAGGATGACAACAAAGCAGGGACACACTTGGAACCGGGGACAGGAGTTACACAACAGTGTTCTCTTGCCTCCTCTGTGGACTAGTCATTTTTCAATCCCAAACAAGTCACAAGTTCATGGAAAAGCTTGTTTTTTTGAGATATTTGAATCCCAAATGACCAAAACTCTAATATAAGAATAAATGTCCGGTTAAGTGGCTCCTGCTAAGGTTTGTGCATACTACTACATTGTTCATACTACGGTCTGATCCTCTGACACTTGTTTTTAATCTTATCACACCTAACAACGTGTGTTTTACTTCATGTACCCTAATCTTAAACAGGAATAACTACAAAATGGCAGATACTTGTGTGAAGTGGGTTTCCCGAGTGAGAGAAAGCAGCTGAGTCTAGTCCTTCCACTCGAAGACAAAAGCGGCTCTGTCTCTTGCAGGATGATGGATGATGACCGATGAGGGGTTTAAAGGTCACGAGGCTGTTAAGGTTTAAGCACATTAGAAAGCAGGAGTACCATTTCAGGTTCCAACAGTAGAATATTTTCATGGTGAATCTAAGAAAATCAGGCTATGTTGCTCTTCTGAGCTGGGAAACTAAACGCTGTCACAAAACTTACAAAAGAACTTCAATGGACGTAAACGATGTGCGAGTTGTCAAATTCTACAAAAAATCATTGGATGGAAAATATTGTTTGAATATTTTTGCTTAACACTAAGTATAGTTTGCCATAAAAGCAGTGCTACCCTTCTGATGTGTTTAAGGTTAGTTCATGTGTTAAATTTCAAAACTGGACTGTATTTGGGCACTAAAAATTCTGGTACATACAGAGATCATCTATAACAGCAAAGAACCATAG